GCCTCCATGTGCGATCACCTCCCAAGCCTGGCTTCCACACTCTGCTCACATTGCCGGGGGAGACTGCCAGCCCGTTTTACTTTGGAACTTAGTTAATGCCCATGGTGGGAACACCGACAAAGATGATGGAGTCAAGTTTGGTATTCCAATGAAATGTCATGAATTCAGATTCTGTGAAGGCAAAAGTGCTGTAATTTTAATGTGGAGGGAATGAAACCTTTCGAATTGACCAGCTATAAAGAAAGAACTGGTATGAGATAAAAGTTCATTTCTTAAAGTAAATCTCAAGTAGACATTCCATTACGCTAAGTACTTCCTAGTTTATTGTTTATTGATCCAACATACATGCATGACAAGTGCTTAGGGAGAAGGGGGGCTTAGAAAAAGTGAAGGAAACTCTGATTCCCATCACACTTGTAATTATAATGATTACGAAAGTAACTGAGTTCTCATGATTTTAAAAATATACTTTTTGCCCAGCTGGCATGGTTGAGCATTGACCTAAGAACCAAGAGATCACAGTTTGATTCCCAGTCAGGGCACATGCCTGAATTGCGGGCTTGATCCCCAGTGTGGGGCACACAGGAGGCAGCTGATTAATGATTCTCTCTCATCATTGATGTTTCTATCTCTCTCTCCCTCTCCCTTCCTCTCTGAAATCAATAAAAATATATTTAAAAAATATCCCCCCCCCCTCCGAAGATTAAACATTTGTCAACAATGCAAGGGAGCCTAAATCTGTCTAATTAGTGAGGCCTGATGATGGGTGGCCATAGCCCGGATTGGCAGCCAGGATGGCTGGGTTCAAATCCCAGCGTTCCACTTAAAATCTTGGGTAAACTCTTTCACCTCTGACGAGCTCACTCAGTTTTCTCATCTGTCACATTGTAGAAGAACTCTTCCTACAGAGTCCTTAATAACAACGTCCCTTTTAAGGTGTAAAGTCCTGGACAGATAAAAGGGGCTATTAGAATCATTATTGCAGAAAGCCCAGGAATGGGGTTCACCGTCTGGGGGAAGTCGATGTCTGGCAGGAAGCAAGAGAGTGAGAGAAGCAGGATGGAGATCACAGACACAGAGGCAGCCGTGCCAAGGGCAGCTCGCCCGAAGCCCAACTCAACTGTGCTCGACTGCCACACATCCCCACGCACGGCTCTAAACCGTTGGAGGAAGAGGCCCAGGCCAATCTGCACACTCGTTTGGTTGCAGACAGTTATAAGGTGAGCCCTCCCACCCTTCATTCCCAGCTCTGTCTGGGCAGGGTGGCTGGCTGAGCGGGGAAGGAGGTAACAGGGTGCCCTCAGGGCTCCCTCTGGAAGACAAAGCCCCGTCCCCTCAGCTCTCAGGTTGCATCCTGGAGCTGTGACCTGGCTGCTGTTACGTCTCCTCTCTCCTACCGTCTTGAGGGTCAGTCCGCCACCTTCCTGTCATCTTTGAGCTCACCTTCCTCATGCTGAGCAGCTGCTGTGTTTAAAGTTAGTATAATCCAAGTGTCATTGATTCACGTGTGCTGCTCCCCCTTCCCAATTCTCCTCACAAAATTTAATCTCAGACCATTATTTAGGCATTTCTTAAGATCGCTCATCAACCTGGCACCTTGCATGGATAAGACCTTTAACAAACAGTGAAATGCAGAGTTTTTCAAACTCGAGTCGTGATCTTTGAAAGGAAAACTGAAGTCCTCACAATCCCTGAGAAGGCATGGGGCAACCCTGATAGGAGAAATAATGGGGTGGTCCAAAGAGCATGGGAAGGGAGTCACCAGACTGTGACTGTGTGACCTTGGGCAAATCATGGCCAGATTATCTCCCCAAACATGGTAGCAATTCACACTCCCAGCAGCAGAGTCGAGTGTCCAATTTAGATCAGTGGCTTTCGAAGGCAGCAACACAAAGACCTATTCAAAAGGAAACTCAAAGACCAGTCGTGTAAATTGCCTGAAGATTCCCCAGGCCTTTGGGCACTTCTTTGCTGGCAAAGTCCCAGAGACACCTCATCATCGCCCTGCAACCACTGCCCCCCTGGGGTTCCAAGTCTAGATCACACAGAGCACCTCCCTTCATCATTGTACTTGTCGGTTGACTGGGCTGGAAATTGAGTGGATTGGCAGATAGAGTGGGTGGGTGGGGGCGAGGCTTTCCTTAGGCTCCCAGACTATTGGAGGCAGGAGCTGGGATGGAGAAGCCCTGACTAGGCAAAGCCTCTGAAGGAACTGGCCCAAAGCAGAGGCTGGAGTATCAGAGGCCAGCCAGCCAGTGTGCCCCCAGCACAAATCTGCTATTGGGAAAAGTGCCCCCTGATAAGGGTCTCTCGCAGCTCTTTTCCCTCCCATCACTCCATTAAACAAGCACTGACTAAGGGCCTACGCAGAGTAGCCAGACACTGTACTTTGCGCTGGGAATTCATCACACAACCTCTGCCTCTCAGAATGGTGCTGACTCTTGAGGAGCCAGTGGGTACAGGTGGGATAGCCTGGAATGCCGGCAGGAACTCAGGAAGGCCCGTGACCCAGACTTAAGGAAAGGAGAGGGGGCGGTTTCTTGGAGGAGTTGATCCACATGATCGAAACCAGAAGTGCAAACGGGAGCTAGCTAGGTGGCGGGACTGGGCAAGAACATTTTACAGGGAAGAAACACGTATTTCTACGTTCAAAGGTAGCAGGACAAAGTGCAAGCGCCAGGGGCAGAGCTGAGTTCAAATCCTCGCTCCCTCCTCCATTTGCTATCTCCTCCTCTGATCATCACACATACCCCGCAGGGCTGCGCTGAGAATTAGATGAGATAATGGATAAAAAACACCGGGCACCGGGCACGCAGTGGATGTTATTAGATGCCGTGAACTATTACCCATTACGCTCATCGCTAAGCTGCTTAATGACAGGTTTGCCATCATTACTTTACTCATCTTTGAAGCCTCACTGCCTGGCCCAGAGCCTTGCATTCTGTTGGCACCCAATGAATATGTATTAAGTGAATGTGGAATGCGTGTAAACGTATATACATAAATTTGGGGAATGAGAAGGCCATATTTTACGGCTGAAGCCCATCTACCTCTTGGTCTATACAGGCAGATGCACGGCTTCTCAAAGCTGCCTGGCAAATCCTCCCCTGACCCATGCCCAATGCACAGCTCTCCCAACACCCACACTGCATAGCAGCGCACCTTGACGGCAGCTACCCTACCGCAGGTCTGCTGAGGCACCCGCACAGACACACGTGCACACGCTGAACGGCTGAAACAGGTTCTCCCTCGCGAAGCACACAGGCTGCCATACATGTTCAATAACAAACGTCCTCCCCCTTGTTCTCCCACACCTTAGAGAGACACCCTTCTCTCTCCACCTGAGTTTCTTCTCACAGCGAGTCCAGTGAGTCCCCCATCACATCCATCCAGCTGAGACCTTGTACTTGAACTCCCAGTTGCTAAGTCTAACTTTGCTCCCATTAGCTGTGGACCTCAGGGAAAGCCCTGCCCCGCTGGTGCCTCAGTTTCTCCACTGGTAAACACAGAGAGTGAACCATGCTTCATGCCCACCTGGTAGTTATGCTGTGAGGATAATGAAGATGACAAAGCAGATAACATCAGTGAGATGCAGAGAGCGCCTCAGAAGAAAGGCGCTGGATAAATAGAAGGTGCAGACACCACGCCTGGTTAGCGTACATGCCTCTGCCCACAGACTTGGCTCTTTTCCACCCTGGAGCACAGACACCCTTCCCCCTGCGAACTTCGTCTCTAATACCCACTTCCACGTGCATACACATACATTCTCCCAGCCCCTGCATTTCCCCCAGCATGCCCACAGCAAATTGTTTTTGAACTTAGAGGAAGCTCAGGTTACAAACACCCTTGCTCCCACAGACGGTTCTCAAGGGTCTCTCGAGAACTGCCAAGCAGACAGCTCATCTCTCCATCCGTGGCTGGGCTCCTCTGCTCCCACGATTATAATTAGGCTGCACTTCCAGCAGAGCAGGAGCCCCTTATCTGGTGCAGCTCCTGCCAAGAGCTCCCCAGAACTCAGAGCCTCCTCATTCATTTGCCAGCACCCAAGACCAGTGTGGATGGAATGAAGAGGAAGGACGTGGGGGCCTCAGATGCTCAGTTCCCTACGCAATCCTTGGTCCTGGGAAAGGGAGGGCTCTGGAGCTAACAAGGCTGGGACACTCTCCTAAGGCTGACACACTCGTGGGCGAGCAGCACACTCATTTGCTCCACAGTTCAGTCCTTCCCACTTGGAGCAGGAAAGAGATCACCTGGCTCTTGTTTCGGTGCCTTAAGCATGTGGAAGGGTGTGTGTGTGTGTGTAGGAGTGCGGAGAGTGGGGGGCTGGCTGCCTGTGGTGGGTGAGAGAAGAAAGTGAATGTGGTGTGTGTGTGTGTGTGTTGTGTGCATGTTCAGGACTGATCCTGGTGACTTGCAGTACTAGGGGGTCACTTACATCCTGGGGTCATCACCCCCCTCTATCTACCTCATCCCCTCTGACATGCTCCTCCAGGGAAATACTCCAAACCTCTAACTGCATCAGTGTCCCTGCCCCTGATGCGGACACAGCCCATCACCAAAGTTCAGAAGGCCAAGTTCAGGGGCCAGGCTGCAGCTGTCAAACCCTCTGTCTGGGGCCAGGGCCCCTCCAGCCTCACCATCACCTCTGGCTTCCTCATCTCGACACCAGTGTCACCCAACACTTATGTCTATCAGATTCGGGGCTGGGAGTAGATACACCCCGTCTGCGGGAGACAGAGATAAAGGCAGAAGGACAGACGTACCATTCTCTCCTCTGGGCTGGGACCAGCCAGCAGACCCACCCTGGCGGAGGCGAGACCCTGACAGTTACGCACAGAGACAAAGACACCTAGACAGACCTGGCGCAGACAGACAAAGACCGACGGACGCGCGGACGCGCTGCACCCCTCGGGGAGCGCGGTGTCCCCGGAACCTGGGCGTCCTCCGTGGCAACAGACCCTCATGGAAGGGAGCGAGACCCCGCGTTCACCGCTCCTTACCTGCCCCCGCGCCTCGGGCTGACTTGAGAATTATCTTTCAGGGCTTCTGCAGTTTGTTTTCGTCCCTCTTTCCTCAGCGGTGCGGGGTGGCTCTGGCTCCCGGGACGAGGCAGGCGGAGAAACTTCGGCCGCTCCTCCCGCGCGCTGCCCGCCACCCGCCCGCTCCTAGCGCGCCTGCTTCTGCTCGGTGTCCCGGAGCCGCGGGGCGAGGAGGCGGGAGGGGCCGCAGGAGGGGCGGGGCGGGGGGAGACTGGCACTTCTCATTGGCCAGCCCTGGCATGGGCGGAGCCTCGGACGGAGCTGGGCGGGGCCGGAGCCGTGGCCGGCGCCGCTCATTGGCCGGGGCGGGGCAGAGTCGCGGCGGGCGGGGCGGGGCCGGTCATTGGTCGGAGCAGGGCGGGGCGGGACTAGCGCCGGCGCCGCTCATTGGCACAGGCGTGGCCCGCAGCCCCGCCCTCCTGCTCCGGGCCCTTTGTTTCTGGATGACAGCTGGGGCTGCTCGCGACCCCCAGGCTCCTGGGCGTTCGTGCGGGAGCGAGGTCCCGGGCCCCCATCTCTCCGCTCTCACTTCCAGCAACACCCGCCGAGCGGCCCTGCCTGCTCGGTCTTTCTCTCCTCCCTTTCTCCCAATGTTCCCATCTTGCTCTTCTCTCCTCCCTTTCTTTCATTACCTGCACTCCGTTCTGACTCCAGGTTTCCTTTATGCATTCCTTCTCTTTCTCCTCTTCTCCGTATTTGCCATCTTCGTTATCACCCCTTCGTATTTACTAGCATCCCTTTACAAGGTTTCCTCACTCCAAGCCCCAAGTCCCGCCAAAAGGCTGTATTTCCAAGGTTCAGAGACTTGACCAGCAGCCTGGTGAGGGGCACTGCTTCCCCAGGCCAGGATTACAGACCGGAGCCCAGAGCACTGGCGCTCTTACTCCCAAGACATTTCAAAGGCAAACTTTGTCAGTTCCCTCCCAGGGACTGCGTTTCAGGGAAAAGCTGAGGCCTGTTTCAAGTTTACAGCTATTAATTTCACCCAGTACCTTTCTAACACTATCATTTTCTTTACCACACTCACTTTCAACTTTTCGTAATTGAGCTAGGAGGAAAACCAAGCTTACAAGCTTCGGTTGGACAGTTAAACGGGGTGCCAGGTGTTGCATGAAGCTCTGGTTCTGAGGGTGCACTAGAGCTAATCCTTTAAAAGCCAGGCCTGGCTGTGCCCAGGCAGCATCAACCTCAGACAAAAGAGGGGTGTGTGTGTGTGTGTGTGTGTGTGTGTGTGTGTGTGTGTGAGAGAGAGAGAGAGAGAGAGAGAGAGAGAGAGATTTAGTAGCTGACCTCTGACTGTAAGTAGAATGGAGGGAATGGAGGAAGACAGCCCTAAGGGAAGCAACACCCTTTTGTTTCTGCCGCCCTTTGCTCAATACCCTGTAGGAGATCCTCACTAGATCTAGACCCTTCCTGGAGGCAGCATAGCCTGGGGTCTGAGAGCACAGGCAGGTTCTGTCCCTTATCATCTGTGTGACCCCAGCAGTGCTTTAACCTCCTTAGATCTCAGTTTTTTCATGTGTGACATGGGGGTGGCAATTCCCAGTATGTAATCTCCTGAGGGCGGAATCTATTCTCTTGTGTTCATGGCTGAGGGAGTTGGTCTTGTTTTGTTCATGGATGCATTCCCAACGCCTAGAACTTGCCTGGCATGTAGTAGGCACTCAATAAATATTTGTTAAAGAATGAATTCATAGTTTGTAGTTTGTTGTGAGGATTCAGTGGGAAACCTGGCATATGGTCAGTACTTACACATGGTAATTATTACAAGTAATACTACAGCTTCTCAGTGTCAACCCCAAAGGCTACTCAGCCCTCTTTGAACTTCACCTCTTCTCTCCTACCTTTGTCTGTACTTGTTCCTCCATTTGAAAAGCCTTTCTCTACCTGTCAAAATTTGAGACCTACCATGCACACCTCCTCTGATCATCCCAGGCAGAATGATGGGCCCTTTATCTAAAACCCCATGCTTCCTGCAGCCCACTCAGGGACATAGCATATGCATGCTTGCTTGCATGGTGGCTGGGACTGTAGGTCTGCCTCCCTAGGGTGTGAGCGGTCCTTAGTCAGGGACTGGACTCTATACTTAGCTCCAGAGACAAATGCGGTGCCTACCAGGTGGCAGTGTCTCAGGAATATTTGCGGAATGGGTCAGTATTGACCAAACACCCCAGATCCTTAAGTAAAGGGTAGAATCTTGGAAAGTACAGTAAGGGATCAGGGGGGACTCCAGGCTTCAGTTAAACTCATTTTAGTGTCTTCAGATGTGGAATTCTATGGAAGAGGCAAAAGGCTTCTGGAGGCCTGTTGCTCCTGGTTTGGACCCCACCAATGACTACTTAAATGCTGTTGGAAAAGCCATGTTCCTGGCTAGGCCTCAGTTTCTGCCCCCGCCTCCCCCTCTCTCCCAGTGTTCCCATTTTACTCTTCTCCCCTCCCTCTTTCCTTTTATTACCTGCGCTCCGTTCTGACTCCAGGTTTCCTTTATCCATTCCTTCTCTTTCTCCTCTTCTCTGTATTTGCCATCTTCTTTATCCATATTTCTCCCTCCCTCCTCTCCCTTCTACTCTCTCTAAAAATCAATGGAAAAAATACCCTAACTTTAGCTGAGGATTTAAAAAAAGGAAGAAACATCCTGTGCAAGGGATGTTTCAGAGATAAATAAGGTGCGTTGACCATGGAGGTGGAAGTAAGGAAGTGAAATGGACAGAGGAGAGCTGTGATGGTATAGTGTGTGTGTGTGTGTGTGTGTGTGTGTGTGTGTGTGTGTTCATAAAAGCCTCAGGAATGTGGTCTCCAGGAGCACAAAGCCATAATTAGCTCCCTGATTCAGCTGTTTGGTATGGTAATGCAATGGCTGGGTGTGTCTGCCCCTAAAACCCCTGGTGAGATTCTCAGTGTGGCTCCTCTTCCTTCCTTTGTCTCCTGAAAAAGTGCTGCTGTCCCTGGGCCCTGGGTATCCCCTTTGGACATCTGCATCACTCAGTCTTGCCCTTGTCTGAGCTGAGTATAGAAAGCTGGGTTATAAAGCATGTTCTTATAAAAAGTCTTCATCTACTCATCACCTAAGATCAAGTAGTTTACTGTTCTGGTTTATCATTCTGTTCTTCATCTCTGGAACCTAGGATTGGCCATACAGAACAGGTCCAGGGACCAGCAGCTTGTCTGGCTTAGAAACTTCCCTGCCTTTCCAATGGACTTATCACAGTTCAAATAATTGTCTGCCTTCTTGTTCACCTTTGACTCTTCTGCAAGTTTCTCATTCAAGACCACTTGCTTCTTATTCAACATTAAATCCCCAACACATTGTTGGTATTTGGCAAACACTCAAAAAACACTTGAATGAGTTCTATGGAGGGGCCAGGGTGATGTTTCAGAAAGGCATGGACTCAGACACAGAAGATCCGCACATACTCCCACTTTTCAAACGTGTTCTCTTGTCATAACCTTTTCAAGACTCAGTTTGCTCATTGGTAGAATGGGCCCAATAACATTTGCCCAATTTGTCTTGTGGCAATGACCACAAAGATGAAAAGAATTAATACAGTCAAAGGTGGTAAGAAAAGTAAAAATGTTAAATAATTGTTTAATTTCTTTTAAGTCTAAAAATCCAGGGCCTTGTATTGGGAGATAAGAAAGTCTAACTAGCCCTGGCTGGTGTTGCTCAATCATTAGAGCGTCGGCCCACGCACCAAAGGGTCTGGGGTTCTGTTCTGGTCCAGGGCACATACCTTGTTGCAGGTTCAATTCCCAGCCCCCAGTGGGGGGATGGGGGGGAGGCATGTATGCGAGGCAACCAATTAATATGTCTCTATCACATCAATGTTTCTCTCTCTCACTCTCTCTCTCTCTTTCCCCTCCTTTTTCCTCCCTCCCTTTCACTCTTTTTAAAAATCAATGGAAATAAAGTCTGACTATATTTAATTGAGGTTGGGTACTTTCTAAAAGTAGATGAAAAAATATTATAATCCTAGGTCATTGAGAAAAGCTTTCAGGGAACAGGGTTCCACTACACCACCTATCTCCCAACTAACCAGAAAAAGTACAAGAAGGCTTCTTTTCCTGCAGTCGAGGCCAGGACTTCTGACCTTAGAGGACAGTGTCCTGTCTCCCTCCAGGGTACAAAACAGATCCCCAAGAGTTGCCTTGGATGTGTAGCTCTTTTAACCAGAATTTACCTTTCTCACCTGTGAGTCCTGGGGCACCTCCACTCTTATCTCTGGGCTTCAACAATCTCTCCCTTGTGTTGGGAGGAAGAGCTCCTCCTTGGCTTGTCTGAGTGCTAAATGAGATAAAATGCAAGAGGGATTTCTCATTTCCTAGGAAGTACTACATGACTTCAAGGAATTGTTTATCACTACCATTATCCTCCTCCTCATCAGTAGCATAATTATCTATAGCTATGCTGAGTATTAACTTGTGTTCAGGCTCAGGCAACCAGGGAAGTTGTAGAGGGAACAAATTCTTAGGTGCCCTAGGGGAAACTCACTGACCTCAGAATTCCTGCCCAAGGGTGACTCATCCCAGCTAACGTGCTCAAGTTACCTCCGGAAAGATGTCCACCCCACCCTTTCATTGCAAGGAAAACTGAGTCCAAGAGCAAGAGAAGAAAAGGACCCCGTTTCACTGAAGCTAGGACCCCAGGGGTTTAAGGCATGTGTCCCCCACCAGCCCCAGAAACCGTGTAACTGATGCAGTGCCTCAGTGTGGTTTGGTTTGGGCAGTGTAGCCCATAGGCAGTCCGCCTTCCCCTGAGAACAGTGAACCAGACATCTTGGCGAATGTAAAAGCAGGACTCAAATAGCACTAACTAGCTTCTAGTGCAAATATCCTTTATTTAGCCTCTAGTTGACAAGGCTCATGATAATTCTTTAGCAAACCTGTCAATATAAATGCAGGATTGAACAAGATGACAGAGAAATAAGAAGGAAATATTCAAATTTTACTTTCCCCCACCCCCAAACACCATTTCAAAAGGATACAAGAGGCCAGTGGTTCTCAACCTTCCTAATGCCGCGACCCTTTAATACAGTTCCTCATGTTGTGGTGACCCCCAATTTCATTGTTACAAATTGAACATAATTAAAGCATAGTGATTAATCAAAAAAATATATATAATTATATATGTGTTTTCCAATG